GTGCGGCTGTGATTTATAAAGGAAAGATGCGCAGAAACGTGCGTACGCACTGTTTTATAAATTGAATTTTTTTGGCGTACGCTATTTCCGCCAAAACTCATGATATTTGGTATTTGGACTCAAATTGTCTGATTTACCAATGCTTCACACTTTCAAAAAGATAAGCAAACTTGACAGTGAGTGTAAAGCTGATTTATTAACGATGCACAGCGAGGATGGCGTCTGTCAGATAACATTCATTTTGTCTGTTTGCTTTCACGAACATGCAGAATTTATGATTATTACTAGGACAAGCAAAGGATGTGCAGATCTAATCCTTTTACACCTTGTGATTTAGACCATCATTGGTTGCTGTTTTTGCCTTTATATTTGAAAGGCAGGTGCAAATTTGTGCTGCAATTATTGTACCGGCTCTGCATCAGTCACCTTCTGCTCCCCKCCACTCTGCCATGGCAGCATGTGATAGTAATAAAATAAAAACTGCCTCACTGTAATAGAAATTCAACACATCACTGCAGATCAGCACAGGGATGGGTAACTTCAATGAYGGAAGGGGCCATAATATTTTTTGACACTACCAGAGGGGCACACTGACCCAAATGTAATAAAAGTGCCATTTTAAAAGTGATTGTGTGTTTATTAACATGCCGCAGTAACTTAACATATTTCATGCTCAAATGCATGTTTTACTCTTAATAAATATGAATACAAAATGTTTGAAGCAAACAAAAAATAAACACTTACTTTAGCGAGCTGAAGTACAATGACGTAAGGTGCCTTGAGTGCAAACTTGTGATTGTGGTTTTGATAAAAAGTTGCTGTTTGTTTGTGACTTCAGTAAACTTCTATTTAGCTTTGTGCWATGTGTTGCAGTGGTGACTTACAGGGGAGTAACTTTGTATGGAAGTTGGTGGGGATGCATCGTGGGGGACGGAGACTGATGCTCCCACAGTTGTGCGACCAGGTTTTTCTGTTGTTGCTATAAGACCAAAACCTAAACAGGAATGCAATATGCTGTCTATAGTTAACACAATAATTACAAACAGGGGCGGACTGGTGCAATGATCCAGGCAGGGAATTTGATACCATCTCAGGCTGATGAAACACAAACCACCAAGACTCAGCATATATTCAGTGTGTGCCTAATTTAACTRTCTGCACCATAGGCGTAACTTTCCTAAGGACTGGTATGGACATGTCCCCACCAACTGTGGCCAGACAGGGACAGTCCTCACCAATATTCGCATACCTTTGTTACTTTACATGCATCAGCATTTGCTGACAGTAASTAGCGTGGCAGCAACTGTGCACTGTGCCCAAAGCTTCTGCTAAGATTGAGGTCAAGTCCACTCAGATGACTTTTATTGATTCCCTGTTATAATTTACAGACACAAAGTCACTGATTATTTCTTTGATTTAATCTATAGCCTCATAATTAACACATTATTTTCTTGACTTTTTAAAGCTGACTGAATTCAGGTGGCAGTAAAAAACATAATACTTAATCCATCTTCATGTCTGTCTCCAGTGTGTCCTTTACACACGTTACAAGTCTTCTGATGTCCCTGTTGGAAAGGATAAACGCCCCTGTAGTCCACCTGTGTGTCTCTCTGTTGAAACTATGGTTGATTGTCAAACTGTATTCTTAGTGCATGTAAAGGGCTGATACAKGGTTGAATGAAGGTGAACATAATCTCAGTTAATATGGTTTGAGTATTATTGCACCACAACAGAAACATTGTGGGTGCGTCAGACCCCGTCCCCCACAGTGCCTCCCCACCAACTTTCAACACAAAGTTACTCCCCTGGACTAAACCCGTAGGTTTGCCTTGAAATTCTGTGAACAAATGGTCTACTGCCCCCCCCAAAAAAACACTAAACTTACATTTAAAGTAAAATTATATAAATAATGTTTTGGATGTTTTTGTGAGCGGCATTATTGGCACGCCAGTCCTCGGGCAGCAGCATTTTTAAAATGAAAAATGTTTTTGAAACTGTCGTGGAAATCTTTATTTTACCTAGACAGAAACACGAGATCCAAGAATATAAAGCACTCCATGAAAATGGTCAACAGGATTTATTGCAATTGCAAGACATGTCACATGACATGTGTCATGTATGGCATGTCATGTCACACAAGGCAGTTTCAAATACACGCATTTATACAGAATGTTATCTCTACAGAYGATAAACATCTCTCTTGGTGCTAAAACAGAGCCAAGGAAAGAACGATGTTCGATGAAACAGCAACAAGAATTATTACTTCTAACAGATATTGTCCTGATCTTAAAACACTTTGAGAGAAAACAGAAGATAAAGAGTAAAATCATAAAACATGACATTTAAGGTAAGCAAAACAGGTCTGAAAAGAAATGTAGGACCTTGTAGGATAATATATTTTTCCAAGACAGAAACAACCAAGTTGTCAGCCTGTTTTTCATGGATCACAATAATTACACTCTGGCAATGTTCACAGTTATGTTGTGATTTTTCTTTTAACTCTCACAGAATGAAAATAAAGCGTGCCTACCTTTCTGCACCTGTCAGGTGCTCATCTGAGCAGCACCAGCAGATCTGTGCGCCGTGACGCATGCTTTGACAAAATATTAGAATTTTTTTTATTTGATATTTACATAGTGACATGCAGGTTTTCGGGTAGATGGTCAAACGTGAGTAAAAACTGATAGACTCGTGAGACGGAATACAAAAAGGTGAGTGATTTTATTTACAGGTGACAGGAGGTTTGGACCAGGGCTGTGGAAGAAGGAAGGGGAAATGATCAGTTCCAGTTTTTTTTCAAGGAGGTAAATAATTTGAAAGTGAGTAAACAGGTAATTTCTTACAGCTCAGGAGAGGGTTTTCAGGTAAGTTATACAGGTGAGTATTTTCAGATTGGTTTTCATGTTGGAGGCAGACAGGACAGCGTGAGGAGGATCAGGTGAGTAGCTCTCGGGTAATTTCCAGAATGGYGGGGGTCCAGGTAACTCAGGAGACAGGCTTTCTGWACACAGGTRAAAACAAACGTTAGCATGACTCGGGTACAGAACTAGTTTCTAGGCTGAGATGCTTCACCAGTAGCAAGCGATGCATCAGCGAGGACCCGATCAGAGCCGCCTTAAAAATCCTGAGAGTTTATGGTCCTAATTGACGCCAGAGGCTGTGAGGTGCCGATCACTTAATGGGCTGGACCAACCAAATGCCTCACGTAGAAATTTAAGATATCTGTGTTTCGGAAAAGTTGATAACAAATAAACTAATAAAACCTTTTTTTTTTTTCAAAGCCAAAAACCGCACGCAGCTCCGCAACTGACCTCCATGCACCGCTGCATTTTCTTGCATCTGGTTCACCTCCATCACGCGCTAAAAATAAATTTGTTAGATAAGAAGTCTCAGTTTTTTTTAAATCAGTCATTAGTTGTTGAGAAGCATTTTGGGCGGTTTTACAGCAACGGGTCCAACACCTCCCCTCTTCAGTGGCAGCTTAAAAGCTTGAGAGAAAACCCCCGAGATGCGTCAGACTGCGTGACAGAACCGAGCCGCTGTGATGGAGATCCTCCTCTCCACGTTTGTCTCCGCAGTTTTCCTCTGTGTGGTCAGTGCCAAGGACCACCGTGATGGAAATGTACACTGGTCATATTCAGGTGGGTTCTTTGGCTCTTAATTTTCTTTTTCTTTTTGTATTGCTGATAGATCTTACACCGATTAAGATAAAGTTTCGATGCGTAAAACCGTGCGTAAATTGTGCGTAAACCATGCGTAAAAGTGCGTTTTTGTTGGGTTTTGTGTAAAATAAAGAACCTTCACAAAGCTCCTTTTTTCATTTAAAAACATATAGCCTGAATAAATATGTTTTGTTTGTTTGATGTCAATTCAAGCAGTCTGTTTTTGTGTTTTCTTGAGAAAAAACGCCATCAGACAGTAACTGTTAGACTAATTTTATGCGACTCAGATGTAGAACTACTCTGCCTCTCTTTACCTCCCCATGAAATCTGAATGCAGAACAATTTGCGCCATATACTGTATATTTCCTCTAGAATRCAAGCAGAACTGCAAATAAAGTGACTGACTGTGTTCATTCACAGCTCCATCACCAGGAGCCCCTGTTTTTGTCTTGGGAGATATGAATCCCTGTAAATTAGAACTGGCCTTCTCAGGATTCTTTCACTATGTGAAATTAAGAAATACTAAATGCTTTGGAAACATTTCTGGTGCTTATAAAGCTACAGCCCTCTCCACTCTGGCCAATTCGGATCATTCTACGATTCTTTGCGTGCACACTTACAAACCTGTGTTCAAGTCAAGTAGGCCTCAATTAAAACTGTTACTATGGTTGAAGAATAATGTGGAGACACTGAGAAGCTGCTTCCTTAGTACAGATTGGAGCATTTTCCACAAACTGGAGCTAGATGAGGCCACAGAGATTATTACTGATTATATAAATTTCTGTGTTGACAGCATTATTGACAAAAAAGAAGTCCTAGACTTCTCTAACAGACATTCATCAGTGAGGAGGTTAAAGCATCCATGGGGGGGGGGGCTTTTAGGAACAAAGACAGGGCGGGTGTGGCTACAGCACCGAGGGAGTTGAAACTCCTCGTGAGAGAAGCAAAAGAAAGGCACCGATTTGCCATTGAGCTCAGCTTCTTCTCCATGGAGAATCGAAAACTGTGCTGGATGAAAAACATCACAAATAATGAAATAAATAAATGYCTGGTCACCATGAATGACTTGGCTGTTTTGTGCCTGGTGTCCCTTATTTCAGAGATCATATTACAGTCATACTGTGCCTGCTTTTTGGAAAAAGTCTGTTGTCATTCCCATTCCCAAAGTGCCTTGTCCTTTGCTTAACACAGACTTCAGACCAGTGGCCCTAACCTCAGTTGTTACGAAATGTTTTGAAAGAATTGTGATCAATAAACTTCAGATGAACGTGGCTCCTCTTCTTGACCCATTACAGTTTGCMTATGGCCGTGGCACAGAGGAGGCAGTTTTTAGTGTAAACAACTAGAGAACTGTAAGGCATATGCACGGGTTCTCTTTGCAGATTTTAGCTCCRCTTTTCATACAGTTCAGCCTCATTTGCTTGTTAAACAAACGGGGGTCAATGCTCTCATGGTTTTATTATTTTTTTAACAAACAGGTTCCAACAAGTGAGAGTTMATAACTCTTTCTCTGACATAAAATACTGCAACACAGGCATCCCTCAAGGATGTGTCAGCTCCCATTTTACTTTGTATTTTGTACACTAATGAATGTAGAAGCATGCAATTACTATGTTATCAAATTCTCAGACAATATTATTATTTTGAGTCTGTTACATACTGAGGACTGCCCTTCAGTGCAACACAGGGAGATTGCATTCCAGTAAAACTAATGAAATGTTCTTTGATCCCAGGGGATTAAGAGCACATGATCATGTGATCTTTAATGAAAATATTWTYGAASAACYCTTTTAAATGCGTTGGTATTATCATGTGGAAAACTCTGTGCTGGAATGACCATGTTGATTATCTGTGCTCCAAACTAGCCCAAAGACTGCATTTTTTGCGAAGACTTAGTCTGTTTGATGTCCAATCAAAGATCGTGCTTCTACAATGCTGTTTTTGGCACTATAATTAGATATGGCATGGGTGCAGTCCAAAACTACACTCACTAATGTGAAAACCTCAATGAAAATATTTGGGGTCTAATGTTCAGCCTTTGACGTTGCAGTCTGTCCATGAGGGTTCTGTAATTAAACAGGAAAAAAGGACCTGTATGTCTTATTTGTTGAAAATTGTACCGTGATCTTTCTGGTCCTACTGTGTTTGTATATCTTGCGGCATCTGTACCTCCTCCTGCAACAAAATTCCCTTAGAKGACAATAAAATATATCTTATCTTATCATGCCATGTGGATGAATGTTTTTTTTTCCACAGGTGGAGCTTTGGAACAGAAGCACTGGGCAACCAAATATCCAGACTGTGGGGGAAGGAAGCAGTCCCCTATAGACATCCAGAGGCCMAACGTCAGGTACAACTCAAACATGTTGCAACTGGAGCTGAGCGGATATGACCAACAGGGGACTTTCCTCATGACCAACAACGGGCACTCAGGTAAGCAAATGATATTTCCTTCTGAATATTTTTGAGGGGAATATTTTACAATGCTTTTCATAACTGATATTAATATTAAAAACAAGAAAAATGATTGTTACATTGGATTTATTTCATGATGCAAAGCTAGTTCAGCCTGGATTGGAGAAGGCATCCATGAAAAACGTGAAAACACAACAACCATTCTGTAAAGTATTCATGATCGGTGATGAAATCTTTATGCTGCCATCAGTTCAAATCGACCTCCCGCCTACCATGATGATCACCAAGGGCCTGCCGGGGAAGTACACAGCTGAGCAGATGCACCTGCACTGGGGAGACCCTGGGACCAGCGGAGCGGAGCACACCATAGACGGCATCCGCTACATGGCAGAGGTCCACTCAGATAAACAGCACTGATGATACAGATACATAGCTGTGAAAAATATAGTGTGTTCAGTTACTCTGGTATGTGTAGAGCAGTGGTTNTTATAACACCTTCTTCTTGAGGCCAGCCCCTTTTTCCAGCATTACAACAGATCCAGGGAACTTCCTATGGAAGAGCTGGGCTCTATAACAACAGCTCTAATTACTAATGGGAACAAACATTAAGTGTTGTGCATGATTAAGGCATGTATTAACTAATGCATCAAGGAGAGTACACTCTGAGTTGATCGTGACATATCACTCACAGTGAAATAATAAAAATGGATAATTACAGAAAATACATCCCAGTTAACCTCAAAATAAAACATTTTCTTTCAGCTGTAAAAAAGAGAAAAAATTCATATTCGTGTTAAGCTGTTTCTGTTCCCTTTAAAGCTCGAGTTTTGCAAACTGAGTTGTTTTTCATTTTTTTATTGTATGTAATACGATATTTCAGCTAAGGTTGTGGGAATTAAGGGTGCACAGGGTGCTGCAGCTCCCCTTGATAGATGCCAGAGGACATGCACATCCAAATAAAATGACTATCAAATGAATAAATACTAATAATAATAATAATATTGAAAACGATAACAAAATAAAAAAGAATGAAAATATTCAATTAGTGCTGCATAAATGTTTTAATTTTTATGATATAAACCAGTAATGTTTCTGTAATTATGAGCAACATTTTACTCCAGCTCTGTTCTTAATTCATTGATTTTGTTCTTCCAGCTCCATATTGTCCATTACAATTCTGACAAGTACAGAAGCTGTAAGGAAGCCCTAAATAAGCCAGGTGGACTGGCAGTGCTGGCTTTTTTCTACGAGGTGTGTGATTCACAGATGTCTCTTCTTCTCCTGTACGGAGCTAGAAGAGTCTCAATAATCATAAATGCAACACAAGTCACACGTGAAAAATTCRTCCATTTGTGTGTGAATTTTGAGACTCCCCTAACTTGGGCCAACCCAAACATGCCTTTTTTTAAACAGGGAAACATCTGCAACCAATCTTAACCTGGTGTTTTGGGCCAAATTTAGTGTTTTCTTCAGTTAGATTTATATCCAGTTTTTATGAAAGGTGATTAGCTTGTGTGAGCGTGTGTGTTTKTGTCTGTTAGCCAAATGTCTYAYGAACTATTAACCAGTGTAAGGATTTTAAKCTCCTCAGCTGGTAGCTGATTTGTCTTTAGATTTTACTGTTTTGCTATTTCTTGTTTTCACAGGTACTCTTGTTTGTTTATTTCCTGTTTTTATTTACTTAAAGAAATGAATTTTGTGTGAATTTACATCCCTTTGTCGGACTTTTATTGACTTTTGTTTGACTTATTTTTAAAKTAAAGTTTGACGTGGCTTTTGTTTACTTCCAGGAAAGCTTTTCTGAAAACACCTACTACAGTGATTTTATTTCAAACCTTGGCCGAATTAAGTTCCCTGGTGAGTTTATTATGTATCCAGTAATGAGTGCGGACATACAGGAAAGCAGACACACAGGATACAAAATGTGTTGCTTTGCAGACTCATGAAGAGGTCATAAAAACATAAGTTTTCTCCAAACTGAGTGTTTGAGTCTGACTCGGTRATGATGTGACCCTGACAGGTCAGTCCATGTACGTCTCAAACATCAACATACGCTCCATGCTCCCAGAGAGCCTCAATAATTTCTTCAGATATGAAGGGTCCCTCACCACTCCCCCCTGTTTCGAGAGCATCATCTGGACTGTGTTCGACACACCCATCACTCTGTCTCTCAACCAGGTGTGCCTTTCTTTAAAAAAATAAAATAAAATCAATATTGAGAGAGAAACATCTAACTAAACAGTTTTCTGATGTGTCGACTCTGTGTTTAGATCAGGAAACTGGAGAGCACACTGATGGAGACCGACGGCAAGACGCTGTCCAACAACTACCGTTTCCTGCAGCCGCTCAACAACCGCGTGGTTCAGTCTTCATTCCTGCCTTGATTTGAGAGAGGAAGAGACAGACGACACAGATCCTGAACAGTTTCTCAGAAGTGACATGAAAGCATTTTTGAAAGATGATGGCTCACTTGAATGAAGGGGGKTCACAGTCAGCAGACTCTTAAATCGTCCTCAAGAGAATAAAATCTTAATGAGAAATAGAATTGTCGTTTTTGCATTCAGTGAGTTTTGGTGAGATGCATCTGCAGCAATAAATGATCACTAAAGAGCAACAAATAAATGATATAAAAAACGAATCCATAAAAAAAGAAAACACTTCTATTCTTTCAGAAWCTCAGAGTTCAAATCACCAAAGAACTAAAAGTGTTTTTGAACCGTCTCCTTGAAGAAGCTAGAAGAGGGGTGAGAGGGGTTCCTCACCCTGCTGAGGAGCTGGCAGTGAGCTGGCAGCTGGCATATTGTACTGTTTTGTGCCATCACTCTGACAAACATCTCCTTTAAATCACACCTGCACAGAACTCTGAGAACGTGCAGCTGCTGCTGTGTCTCTGTAGCGTGTTGAGTCACCAGGTGAGGTGGAGCCTGAAGGACTCCTTCTCCCCACGGTCACCGTGTACACAGGATCACTCTCCTGAAGTCTTCAAGCGTGTTTTGGATTTGGTGTTAGGCAATAGTTTGTTTTTGGAACACTATCAGCTGGACCTCCTGCCTGAATGCTGAGTCATTGTCTCCTGTGACCACTGCTGCCATCTGCAGCTTTAATGACTGGTGGGAATGCCTTCGTAAGTGTGCAGGCCTTACAGGARAGGACTCAGGACACAACCCTGTTGGTGGAGCAGCACWGGGAGCCCACCTTCACAACATGCAGACCGTCTGTGAGAAAAGTCTCGATCCAAGCGCAGGTGTGAGGGGGAAAAGTTCAGATCTATCAGCCTCTCATGCTGAGCTACGTCCAAAAAGCATTTAACAATAAGCCCACAGGACATTTGTTTGACATTTTTCAGACGAAGAAGGTGTTCATCGTCGTTTAAAGTTCAAATTCATGTGTAAAAGTAAACAGTTCCATTAGAGTTTGAAGGTTTTGTTTTCAACACCCCTCCCTCATAATGACAGCTTTGGTATTTGGACTCAACATGTTAGGCATGTTGTGACAGCCTGCAATAACATGTGATGCGTGTTTTTTTTTCTTTCTTAGAACCATATTGTATGTCCACAGAGTTGATTTATCTCCTGGCATCTGTTGTTTTGTTCTCTTCTCCCCAGAATGTCTTTACAACAGATAGACATGAATGTGCTTGTATGGGTTCCTCTGCAGACTGATCTATTAAACTTCCTAAGAAAAGAAAGAAAGAAAAAAGGAAAAACACTTTGCATCATCATGCAAGTGGTTTTTAATAAAGCAGAATGATCCTGCACAGATAGGCGGATTTAGTTTCAATAAATGAACTTTTGCCAGGCAGTCCTCCTGAGTGAGTCCCACAGTTTTTTTTCCCAGTCGTAAAGTTGTTGGGAAGCGCTCTGGGCGGTTTGTCAGCAACGGTTCCAACACCTCCCCTCTTCATTTGGCGGGTTAAAAGCAGAGAGAAAACCCCTGAGAAGCGTCAGTCCTGMGCAGAGGAACCGAGCCGCTGCGATGGAGACCCTCCTCTCCGCGTTTGTCTCCACAGTTTTCATCTGTGTGGTCAGTGCCGGGGACCCCCATGAAGATATACACTGGACATATAAAGGTGGGCTCCGTTAAACTCTCAAAATATCTTTATTTTTGTGTCACTCATATTAGGAACGGGTTTTGTGCGTAAAACGTGCGTAAAAACGCGTTTTTTTTCCTCGTTTTTGTGCAGAATATAAAGAGCTGGCAAAAACAGTGGTTTCATTTTTTTGTGCCACGCAAAACAAAAATAAGCATGTTTTCTTTATTTGATGCCAATTCAAGCTGTTCATTTGGGTGTTTTTATGCCAACGCGCGCTGCCTTTTAGGGAAAAAAACGCCATCAGATTCCTGTAACATCTGGAGCTGACTGAGAAAATCATCGGAATAAATTATTTGTTGTGCAGCAAAGCCGTAGTTATTATTTATGTAGTGAATATTACAGGGATGGGCAGCAAAAAAACCAGTTGGACAAGTTTAGTTCAGTGTGTGACATTAACAAGGAGTAAATCATGGGCTCCTATTAATCCTCCACAACAAGACAGCAACATAAACAGTTTTTAAACCTCAGTTCATGTTTTCCACTGCCATGTGGATAAATGTTTCTTTTTTTTTTCCACCGCAGAGGGAGCTTTGGATCAGATGCACTGGGCAACCAAATATCCAGAGTGTGGGGGAAGGAAGCAGTCCCCAATTGACATCCAGAGGCGCAACGTCAGGTACAACTCAGACATGTTGCAGCTGGAGCTGAGCGGATATGATCACCAAAAAGGGACTTTTCTCATGTCTAACAATGGGCACTCAGGTGTGCAAAACATCTTTTCCTGCTTTACCTGTTAAAAGAAAAAAAATACTTGAAGCTGAAAAATGTATTCCAAATGTTTGCACACGAGTGGATATCTCTGGAGGTCTGTTTTAATCTGTCACTGTCAAAACGGTGCTGAAATAATCAACCTAAATATAAATAGGATTTTTTTTACATTGTTTTAAAGGGGAAATATTTTGCAATGCTTCTCACGATTAACACTAATAACAAACACAAATAAAACCAGCATTACAATGAATTTATTTCACACAACAAAATCCAGTTCAGCCTGCGTGCACACATCCATAATAAAGATGAAAACACAACAGCTGTTCTGTAAAGTATTCATGATCGGTGATGAAATCTTTATGYTGCCATCAGTTCAAATCGACCTCCCTCCTACCATGATGATCACCCAGGGCCTGCCGGGGAAGTACACAGCTGTCCAGATGCACCTGCACTGGGGTGGCTGGGACCTGGAGGCCAGYGGAGCGGAGCACACCATAGATGGCATCCGCTACATGGCAGAGGTCGGCTCAGACAAACACTGATGACAGAGATATTTGCAGCTRAAAATGAGCCTATAAGAAACTCTCACATTCATTATACGCTCCTTGTGAGTGAGGTTTGCAGACAGATTTCTTTTCGTCTTTTGCTTGATGCTTGAATCTTCAGCCACAGTGTGCAAGGAGCGCTGCAGCACCTCTTGATGGATGCCAGAGAACATGCACATCCAAATCAGATGGTTAACAAATTAATGGAAAAAAAGAATGAAAATATATTAAATTAGTGCTGCATAAATTCAAATATTTTGATTCTATTGAGCTTTGTGATGTGCAACATTTTATTCCTAAAAGAATTGAATCTGTTCTTGGTTTCTTTTTCRTCCAGCTCCATGTTGTCCATTACAATTCTGACAAGTACACAAGCTTTTCTGAAGCCAAAGATAAGCCGGGCGGCCTGGCAGTGCTGGCTTTTTTCTACGAGGTATGTGACCTCTTCCGTCTCTGCTTTGTCTCACCGACATCTTCACACGATCAGCACTCTGTTTCTGAAGAAGTGAGCGGTTGTGGGGAGTTTGGAAAATGCTTTTAAGTAATGACCCACTGGTCTGAAGTYAAATACTTCTGGCCTGCTCCACTTYAYAGACTGGTAGACTGAATGAGAGTTTGTTTTTCAGCTGCGTCAACCCGTGAGACACTTTACTCCCTGTCCTCTGAGAGGTCAGTGCTGCAGCAGCACCACTGTTGGCATCGGCTGAGAACRCAGCACAGAAACAGTCTTGTTTGGAAAAACTCATGAATTCTTTGAAAAACTCAGTGAAGAGTGAGAAGACAAGAGTTTCTGCCAAAGCGCTGATCAATTTAATTGATTTGGGAACCAAACTAAGTTACTGATAAATATTGTCACTTGTGTTTTTGTTCCCAAATCCAATTTCAGCTCTTGTTTATATTCTCTTTGAAATGTTCATATTAATAAATAGAAATGGTGGCCAAAAGAGACAAAAACAAAACTGTAGTTAAACCAAAGTGGATCTTTGTTGTTGAGCCTACATTTAACAACCTTCATTTTTGAGTCACCACAAATAAGACTAAACATTTATCATCTTATTTACTCTGAAACAAGTTTCAAAATAATTAAAAACAGTATTTTACTGACAGTTTTTCATTAGGTTGTCTTTAGATTTCACAGTGTTACTGTTTCTTGTCTTTATTTTTAGTAGTGATCTATTTGTGTGAAAAAAAAAAACAACCAAAAACACTTTTTCAGGTTTAATTACTCACAGATGTCTAAAATGTTGAAATTTCAACCATGAAATGTGAATTTACTTCCCTTGTTGAAACTGAATTTACTTTTGTTTGACTTTTTAGAGTTGATGACATGAAAACAACTCACTTAGATCAAAAGAAATATTATGGTGCAAATTTTGCTAATAAGGAACAATTCTTTCATGTTACATAGCAGCCAAATAAGCTCTGTTCGGTCTGGARCAGTTTGTTTTTTTTCTCAGTTCAGACTGAACTTTTTTGCGTTCCACCCATCACTCTGTCACAAACCCAGGTTTGAGGGGACCTTTCTTAAAAAAAACTAAGTAAATAGTTATTCTTTTTAATTAAAGTTTGACTTTGCTTTTGTTTATTTCCAGGACGGCCATTTTGAAAACACCTACTACAGCGATTTCATATCMAACCTGGCCAAAATTCAGTTTGCGGGTAGGTTTTATGTGGATCCAACAGTAGTGAGCGGGTACATGTTGTGTTGCTTTGCAGCTCAGCTCTTAAGCTGGTTGTCTGAGTCTGACTCAGTGATTGTGTGAACCCGACAGGTCAGACCATGAACATCTCGAACATCGACGTGCGCTCCATGCTCCCGGAGAACCTCAATCATTTCTTCAGATACGAAGGGTCCCTCACCACTCCCCCCTGTTTCGAGAGCATCATCTGGACTGTGTTCGACACACCCATCACTCTGTCTCATAACCAGGTATGAGGAGACCTTTCTTTAAAAAAAACTGACTCTAAATAGTTTTTTTTTTATTTGTCGACTCTGTGCTGTGTTTAGATCAGGAAACTGGAGAGCACTCTGATGGACATCGACAACAAGACGCTGTCCAATGACTACCGAATCCCCCAGCCTCTCAACGATCGAGTGGTTGAATCTTCATTCCTGCCTCGACTCGGGAAAGGAAGTGTGTGACGACACAGACCTTTAACAGTTTCTCAAAAACAATGGGAATTTGCAAGGCCTGATAGGAATTTGTGTTTCTTTTTTTTTCTCTGTAGCGTTTTGTCGGCAGGATGAGATCGAATCCAAGCTCCTGAAAATTGAGGGCCTGATAACGTCTCTTGGGAAGAACATGTACTCAGGTGACTGAGCTGCTTGTCACGACTACAATCAAAATGGAGGTTCTTGCATTCACTTATCAGTGCTTGTTTCTTTGAACGTGCAGGAGACGTTCCCGGCTCGAGACCTTCCAGATACGGTAAATGTTTGTGAGATTAGACGTTGATCAGATTCATATCATCTCATGTTGAGAGATGACCAAGTTGTTTTTGTCAAACCTTGAAAATAACGATGCACAATCACATGCAGCACATCTTGCACCATCTGTTAGCCCTTGGAGTGTGTGTTCTGAATGAGTCACAGCCAGGGCCGGCCCTATGGCCAATTTGACTCCCTAGGCAAGATTTCGGGTGGTGCCCCTTGTGTAATTTATTTAAAAACCAGGTTGTCCAGTTAAAATAGTTAATATATTTCATTTGAACCAGAATACCAAAAATCTACCTCAGACCTGCCAATATTTGCTGACAGCAATGGGGTTCATGTTAACCAGCAGCTGTTGGGTGAAGCAGTTATAGGGGGGGTCCAGGAGTAGACCGTCCTGGGAAATTTAGTAAAAGATCGACTTAAAACTCTGCATTTTCCAGCGGTTTGAAGAGCATTTTACTAAATTCTTTGAATTAATAAAACAGCATAAAATCAGTATTTTATGATGGTAGAACACGGAAAACTAGACTTTAACTTGAGATCAGAACTGAAACTTTCATTATTATTACTATTTTGTTTTCTATTTACACACTGAGCCCCAGTAGTTAGTCTTGACTGCATCGTAGGATACTTTTATCAGGAAATATCCTCTGTACACCTCAAAGCAGAACAAGTTACCTTCGTCAACTTCAAACTATAACTACAGACTAAATCAACTATACTCTGAAAAAAAWTTTTTAATCTAATTTTTTCATCCCCCATTTGAGGAATCTCCTAGATGGATGAGGCCCTTAGCATTTGCCAGTACTGCCTATGCCAGGGGCTGGCCCTGCTCTCAGCTTTTACAGCACCAGTTTTTAGTTCAGTGTCTGTAAAACTGACTGACATCGTTGTTTTTCGTGTCGACTGAAGTGGATTAGCTGTGTATGATGGATTAGCTTGATTTGGGTTCGAGATGTCGTCTGACTCCCGGTGTCCTGTCCTCCCCAGATCGTGGCGGCCTGTTCCCTCTGGTGCTCAGCTTCAACGATAAAAACGCCATCAGTTATGCTCTGACTCACCTCACCCACCCCATGGATCTGGACTCCTTCACGGTCTGCGTTCACGTCCTTCTGAAGGTGGAGGGGAGCCACACGGTCCTCTCCTACTCCAGCCACGGGGTCGACAACGAGCTGATGATCAGCATCAACGAGGACTCGGACGCGAGGGAGGTGGGCCTCTGGATCGGCAACGAGTTTATCAACCTGCCCCACAACTTCATGTCCCAGGACTGGACCAACTACTGTGTCACCTGGTCGTCCCACACCGGCGGGGCGGAGCTCTGGGTTAATGGCAAGGTTGGGGAGCAGAGGTACCTGAGAAGCAGCTACACCATCAGCCCCGGAGGCGTGTTCATCCTGGGCAAGGACCAGGACGGCTTGCTGGGGATCTCCAACGACGACGCCTTCGTGGGCAAGCTGACGGACGTCAACGTGTGGGACTACGTGCTGAGTGCAGCAGACATCCGAAACCAGATGTCGTGTAAGAACACCAGTGCCGTGGTGGGGAACGTGTTGAGTTGGGGGTCCACCAAACTCAGTTTTTATGGTGGGGTGCAGCTGGACAACGTGTACAGATGTTCCTAAAAAATGCAACGAAATGATCGCAGCCAATGGTGTTGCCTTTGAATGTTTATGGTAACGAAAAATAAATCTCTCAATATTTAAAACATACATGTCACAGCTTTATTCATGTACTCATATCTGCTTCATAAATAAAGGCGTACAAGAGATTTGTTGGGTTGTTTATTGCAAACGTTCTCCACAAGCTCACGGTATTTTTAGCCTCCACACAAACAGACTTTGTTCAAATTCCTTCTAAGATAAAGAGTCCAAATAAAACCTTTAAAGTCCTCTCATGTCACCCCGCAGTGATGACTTCCTGTCCTCCTCAATGCCTCCTTTTCTCCTCAGAGGGTCGTGACCTTCTCCAGGCTCTCCGTGCTGTCCTTCAGGGGCCAATCCGAGACTTTGATCTCTGTTTTGTTCCTCTTGGCAAACATCTGGGAGACCTCCAAGAAGGTCTTGTTCTTGGTTTCTGGCACCACCAGCCAGATGTAGATCAGCGCGACCAGACAGACAACAGCAAAGACGATGAAACTGTAGGAGCCGAGGCCTCTCTGGAGGGAGAGACGAAATGAGATCTGTTTGTCCTCAGGATGAAAGGTTGGGAAGAGGTCAGACAGAAACAGCTGGAGAAGAGCAGGAAAGGTGACGATGAGAAGAGGGTTTAAAGACCTGTTTTATGGCAAGGCTCATTTTTCAGGAGGGCTGGTTTCTCCTTTACCTAAACACATTCCTCTTTTGTTTGCTTCTCTTCGTTTTAAATGTTTCGGCTTATCGGCATCACTGCACCACTGTTTATTAGAAGGAAAACACAACTAAACCCACAGGAAATGAGTAAAAAACATGGTGTCTCCTTTAACAGGACTGGTTTTCATGTACTTCTGTTACGCATTCAAAACTACCTGAAAGAAACCATTTGTTTTCCTTCAGAAAATGTAGGATTGCAAACTTTGCTCATATCTG